TGTGGCAGGAGACCTGTATGATTCAGTGGTGCAGTCTCCTTGATTTCCTGAACCTGGTGCTCTTGGGATGCCCTTTATGCTATTTATGTTGGTTCTTTGGATGTAATTGGGTTTTGATTGTAGTTGGGTGGTTCTTTGGTGGGTCCTTTTCTCCAGATGGCTGACTGAGGATCACTCTGCCCACCATGTCTTATATGCTGTTATGCAGGTTCTGTCAGAACAAAAGCACAAAGCCCAGGAAACAAACCCACACCCATAAAAATAACTACCTCCTGGAATCCCACTACCAACAGTAAATGAACCAGTATTAATAAGGGTGTAAAGATATTAAAAGTATTATAAGAAAGGAGAGTGACTATGAGATGACCTACTGAAAGAAAGATGATTTTGAGAGGGTAGAAGGAGGAGCACTAATAAGAGTTAGAAGTTGGAACAATGCAAAGATAGAAAGTAAAATTTACATCATTAATAAAAAAGGGAATGGAGAAGGCAGAATGGAGTATGAGAAGGAAAGTGTATAGTATAGATTTAAACAGAAATTAAAATAAAATAAAGTGAGAGAGAAAGAAAAAGGAAGGAAAAAGTAAATAAATACTAAAAATGTGGGAGCCAAATTGGAGAGAAAGATCCATCATGACACAACAAATGAGCTAAAATTAATATATGTGGTATATGAATAAGAGGGAAAAAAGAAAAAAAGAAAAGCTTCAAAGATGTCTAGAGAAATGTGAAGTGATTTTGAAATGATAGAGAGGGAATACCAAGAGTGAAGAATGAAAAGTAGGCTAGACAGAGAAAAAATAAAATTTAAGATAAAAAGAAAAAATATAAAATATAAAAAGGAAAACAAAGAAAAATAAAAGGGTAGGATAAAATAGAAAAAGAAGAAAGAAAAACAAAAGAATCAGGCTAAGACAGGTCAAAATTAAAAATTTGAGACAAAAAAGAGTAGGGAAGCGGACCAGTAAAATTTGAGATTTGATAACAAAATTAGTGAAGATCTAGAGATAAAATTGAAAAATGGAACAACAACTAACCTATCCACAATCAACAGGGAAAGATTGCTAAAGGTTCAGAGAGAATGCAGGTATTTTAAGAGTGGGGAAAAAGGATATGAGATGACCATTGACAAGAAAATTGGTTTTGAGAGGCTGGATGGGGGAGAAATAGTAAGAGTGTGGAAAGGAAACAAGTTGTAGCAAAAGAAAAAAAATTTAATGAAAATAATGAAAGGAAAGAAGAAGGTAAAATATGGAGTAAGGGGAGGGAGGGGCAAAATATGTGAATTGAAATGTAGTATGAAATCTAGTGACTTAATATGCATGAACTTGATGGACAAGAAATGAATGTTAAAAAGCTATGTAGGGAAGGAAATATTACTAATCATGGAGAAGATCACAGTCGATTTCATCTCAGTAGCCTCTAGTATTTACCACTGTTTTTTCTTTCGGGATGTGCCTCTGGTGATGTCAGATGTTGACCTGAGACTTCCAGGGATCTACTGTCCCTGGCTATCTCCTTCAGTTGTTAATCTGGTTACTCTGCACTCAGCAGTCAGGCTTACGCACCACAGGACCAGGATAGAATTCCTCCTGGCGTCAGGGTTATTGTTTCCCCTCAGGCTGCTGCTTCTCAGGGGAGTGGTCTGCCAAGCAGGATGGCTGTTGCAGTCTGGGGGATGACTCAGCACTGGGATCCCAGCGTGTACTCTTTCAGTTCTCTCTCCAAAGCTTCTGTCCCAATCTCTCCTCAGGCATCTCCAGCTCACTCTGCCTGCCCCCCTTTGCTGGAGCCCCAGGTAAGTGGCTGCAAATGAAAATTTGTGCATTGGCCCTTTAAATGGCCCTTTGTGTCTCTAGCTATCTGTCTTTGGCAGAGAGCAACCCTGCTGCTTTTCAGAGCTAGATGTCATCTGTGTACTTTTTGGGTTCTGGTGCTCTAGGCTGGGGATCCCAGCTTAGGGTTTAGACCCCACTCTTCCCAGGGGATCCAACTGACTGCTTAATTATCCCTTTGGGCACTGCTGCCTGTGGGTACCCAGCCAGACCTCTCACACTCCTTACCAGTCAGGTCATGCTGAAGTTGATTCTTCTGTCTGTCCTAATTACATTTAAATTTTGAGTCCTTCTTGCATTTCCTTTGGGATGAGCTATGAGGTCAAGACCAACTTTCATCCCCAAATGTCACTCCTCTGGTTTTATAGATGGGGAAACTGAGATTTAGGTTGTAGTTTATCCAGAGTTACTGGGCTGGCTACTGTGAGAGTTGTCTGTTAGAACTGGCAGACTAGTGTTCATTCCTTTAGGCAGATAGATCTAGGCTTGACTCTTGGGTCTGGTACTAACTGGCCTTTCACATGTTATATAGGACATGTCTCTGATTGATTAAATTAGAATCCTACCCACACCCTACTCATGTACGCCATCGTTTTGCTCAGCTAGCTGCATTTTACAGGTTGTGGCCAAGTTTAGACCCCATTCTGAGTGCTGCAGGCTGACTGTTGCCTCTGTTGATAAAACAGTCAAAACTCTACAGCCCTTTGTCATAACCTCTGCTCCTTAAGCTCCAGCTAGAGCCCAGATAATGGGACACAAATATCTGTAGAAACCCAACAAAGCACTTTTACTTTACAAAGTTTGCATGCTTTTCTCTTAAGGCTTCTGACCAGCTGTTCAGTCACCCTACCCCAACTCCCTTGAGATGCCTTAATCATAGCTATTGGTAAAAGTCTGAGATAGTTTGTCTGCTTCTGAACATAGGTTGCTTATTATGTTGACCTTGGTTTATTTTTCTCTAATTTATTTTTCAGGAATTCACCTAGATTTGACTCAATATTTTATCTTGTTTCTACTTTTAATCATGTACTGCATACTCAAAAGATAGTTCAATCTAGCAACTATTACACTGATTTTCAACTTGGCAGGTTTCTTTCTTTTTTAAATCTTTAATGAAAGGCCCTGGCTGGTGTGGCTCAGTGGATTGAGTGCCAGCCTGCAAACCAAAGGGTTGCCAGTTTGATTCCCAGTCAGGGCACATGCTTGGGTTTTGGGCCAGGTCCCCAGTAGGGGGTGCACGAGTGGTAACCACACATTGATGTTTATCTTCCTCTCTTTCTCCCTTCCCCTCTCTCTAAAAGTAAATAAATAAAATCTTTTAAAAAATAAATCTTTAATGAAGGAAAGCCCTACTCTACTTCCCCAGAGTTAGAAATTGCAATTTATGTGGTTCAAGTGGTAAAAACTCATTAATTAAAACTGTCAAAGTGTAGTGAGCTATGCAATTTTTAATATATGTTGCATCAATTGATGGGAGCAGTGGTTGTCATAGGAAATTCTTCACAGCTTCTTTTGTGATCAAGTTATGATGACTATAATCTTCTGTTAGATCTTCATAGTGCAAATTTTGGTGAAGCCTAAACTGATCTGAATGTCTAGAGAACTCTACTGCTGTCTCCAAGGTCTGTCTTAGCTCTCAGGGCTTTTTGCTGTTGCCTTCATTCTCAACCCATGATATGGCCTTAAAGGTAGTATTTTTGTTTATTTTGCTTTGTTTTTGTTTGTTTTCAGTTTAGTGGTAAGTTAGACACAAAAGGCAATAGCACAGCTTTTAGTTAATATGCACATAGCATTATGCTTTTTTCTTATAAATCTAGGATAAGATTGAAATTATAGAAATATAGTCAAAATGCTCTGCACAATAAAGCAAAGGAGAGAAGAGATGTAAGGGAATAACATAAACAGCCATTATGACTAGGGCAGGGGAGGAGTGGTGGGGGATAAATGTAGACAACTGTACTTGAGCAACAATAAAATACTTTAAAAGAAAGATTAAAATATATGCATAAGAAAGATTTTGATAGCAATGTCCCTACCTTCCTAGTAAACTATACATTTAAAAAATGTTATTGGTGGGGAGTGGCTAGAGCAATACTTCTTCCAGAAGGAGAAGTGTCTGTAGTCCAAACTAGCTTGTCATCCAAGGTTCCTAGAATCCTGTTATATTATATTTGATCTAGTACAGCCTCTGACTCAGTCTGGCAGATCACTTACCCTGCAGTGGCCTTACTGAGTGGTCATTCCAGGTATCCTAAATCCAATTATCTAGAAGTAGTGCTTTCTGGAGTGGGGCTGCCTGAATTTGACACTTGACTAGCTGTAGTTACAGCCTTGGGCAGATTATTTAACCCTTCTGTGCATTAGTTCTCTCATCTATGAAATGGGGATAATGGTACCTGCCCCACAGGACTGTTGTGATGTTAAAATCAGATAATATGACACATGTGTAGTACTTATTATTCTACTAGCACATTATTGTTGCTCTTACCACTATTGATATTCATTTTCATGAAGACTGAAATGTTTGAAAATGTTTATTTTGAGCTGAAATCTATCTTTTAATAATCTCTAACCATTGTGTGGCACAGGAAGAAGAAAATTTTTAGCCTTTTCCCTACTTGCCAACCTTTCAGATATTGGACAAGTAAGGATACAAGTATGAAAGTGTGTTATAGATCATAAAGTGCCATGCTACCTCTAATGGAGTATTTAATATTATCACTATATCATAGTCCACATTATAATTATTATCTAACTTACTCCTTCTACTTGCTACATCTTATCTTTTCAGGCTAATTATCTTATGTTCCTTCTAGTGTTTTTCATATAACAAGATTTCTAGAAACTAACCATATTAGTTGCCTTACTTGGGATATGCTCTAGTTTTTTTCATGTCTCCTTTAAAACATGTCCTCTAGGACTTGCAGTAAGACTAGTGTAGAGCACAATGTTAATATAATATTTACGTCCACTCTCCTTTAAAAGTATATGTACTTTGTTGATGAAATATTGTGTCCATTTGAGGGAATGTTGTCATTCTGCTGGCTAAAGGGCTTCTTCAGATGAATTCCCACTGAACATGGGAATTCATGTTTAAACATTCTGAAAATTGCATTCACTTATTTTTTTATTGATATATTTTGAGCCCCCCTTTTTTTGTGCCAGGTGCTGTGCTGTATACTGGAGCTACAGTGGTGAGTTCTACCTTTGTCTCTATTGCATTTCAGTACCTAGTCCAACCTGTTGAAATTTTTCTATTCTAGTTCTATTTGAAAACAGGTTGGCTGTGTCTCTATGTTTTATGCCGTTCATAAACCTGATGAACATGCTTTGTCTTCTCCAACTTGTTAGGTTAAAAATGTTATTTCAGAGTGTCAAGTACAGAATCCTGAGATAGGCAACTATACCCCTACTTGTGAGGCTGACATTGATCCGTTAGTGCTTTTTAAAAAACAAGCCTTTTTACTTTGAAAAATTATAGATTCAGAGGATTTTGTAAAGAAATGTACAGAGAAGGCCCAAGCACCCTTTCCCTAATGTCTCCCAGGTATAGTACATTATCAAAACTAAGATATTGGTTCTGGCCAAGATGGAGGCATAGGTAGAAACCCTTTGCTTCCTTGTACAACCAAAAAGAGGATAACAACCAATATAAAATCAATAAACAACCAAAAGCGCCAGAAAATCAATCTGCATGGAACTCCGACAACCAAGGCATTAAAGAAAAAACCAACCAGAACAACCAGACTGGTAAGGCACTGGAATATGCAGGCCAACTCAGAAAAAACATGGTGATGTGGCAGACTGTGGGGGTGGGGCTGGCTGCCAACCTCAGTGGGCTGTGGGGCGGGGGGGGGAGCTGACTTAAGGGGAAAACTGAGACTCAGAGCCGACTGTGGGTTATGGCTGGGGTTGCCATGGTGGGAGAAACTCCCAGTCTCACATGGGAGTTCATTGAAAAGTGCGCTAGAGATGAGCAGGAGAGCTGCACTGTTCCTACCCTCTCCCCTCCCCCACAGGCAGTGCTGCAGCACAGCAAAGAGAGTTGCCCTGCCTTGGTGAATACCTAAGGCCCCTTGCCCTTGCAACCTATCAGCTGTGCCAAGACAAAGAAATATGGCCCAAATGAAAGAACAGAGCAAAGCCTCAGAAAGAGAACTAAGCAATGAAGATATAGCCAACCTATCTGATGTAGAATTTAAAGCCTTGGTAATCAAAATGTTCACAGATATGATTAAGCTTGGTCGAGAAATAAAAAAACAAAACAAAACAATGAAAGATGCCCAAAGTGAAATAAAGCAAAATATTCAGGGAACCAACAGTGATAGGAAGGAAACCAGTACTCAAAGCAACAATTTGGAACAAAAGGAAGAAATAAACATTCAGCCAGAAGAAAAGGAAGAAACAGGAGTTCAAAAAAGTGAAGAGTCTTACAAACCTCTGGGACAACCTGAAACATTCCAATATCCAAATTATAGGGGTACCAGAAGGAGAACAACAGCAAGAAATTGAAAACTTATTTGAACAAATAACGGAGGAGAACTTCCCCAATTTGGTGAAGGAAATAGACTTCCAGGAAGTTCAGGAAGCCCAGAGAGTTCCAAAGAAGTTAAAACCCAAAGAACAACACACCAAGGCACATCACCATTAAGTTTCCCAAGATTAGACAGAAAGAGAAAATCCTAAAAGCATCAAGAGGAAAGGAGAGAGTTACGTACAAAAGGGTGTCCATTAGAATACTAGCTGATTTCTCAAAAGAAACCTTGCAAGCAAGAAGGGGCTGGAAGGGAATATTCGAAGTCATGAAAGGCAAGGACCTACATCCAAGATTACTCTCTCCAGCAAAGCTTTCATTTAGAATGGAAGGGCAGATAAAGTGCTTCCCAGATAAGGTCAAATTAAAGGAGTTCACCATCACCAAGCTCTTATTATATGAAATGTTAAAGGGGCTTATCTAAGCCCAAAGAAGATAAAAAATGTGAACAGTAAAATGACAGTACACTCACAGCTATAATAAGGGGGGTAGAAACGAGGGAGGGAGGTGGGGAAGGCTGGGATGGTGGGGAGGGGTGGGGGGAAAAGGCAGAAAAGTGTACTTGAACAACAATAAAACATGTTTAAAAAGTAAATAAAAGTGCACTTTGGGATTAAAAAAAACCCCAAGAACAAATTAACATAGTAGAAAAGAAAAACAACAAAAAACAAAAACTAAGCAAACAACCAGAACAGGAACAAAATCACAGGAATGCGTATCACATGGAGGGTTTTCAGTGGGGAGGGGGAAGGGAGGAATGGGGGCACACAGTTACAGGGAGGAAGAAGCATAATTAGCAGGCATAAAGTAGACAGGAGTGATAAAAATGGAATAGGAAATAGAATACTCAAAGAACTTGTATGTACAACCCATGGACATGAACTAAGTGGGAGGGAATGCTGGAGTATTGGGGGGCAGGGTGGAGGGGGGATAAAGGGTGGATTGGGAAAACTGTAATAGCATAATCAATAAAAAGTACCTAAATCTACAACCCCCCCCAACACCCAAGATACTGACATCAGTCAATCCATGGAATTTAAATCAGATTGTGTGTGTGTGTGTGTGTAGCTCTATGAAGTTTTATTACACGTGTGGCTTTGTGTAACCATCATCATGATCAAGATAACTTAAATCTGCCATCACTACAAGACTCCCTTGTTCTTTCCCTTTAGACCACATCCCTTCCCCCTCTGCATGCCTACCTCCTAGCAACTGTTTCCCATCTTTATGTTATTTCTTGAAAGTCACACAAAAGGAATCATGCAATTTGTATCCTTTTATATTGGCTTTTTTTCACTTATCATAATTTCCTTGAGGTTCACCCAAGTTGTTACATTTAATAATTCCCTTTAATTGCTGATTAGCATTTCATTAGCATTCTTTTTAAGTATGGCTATTCAATCAATGATGAATCAACCTACCTGTATAACAGTGTGGAATACATCTCACTGTCTCATGTGAATGTATTTTATAGGGAAAATGTGTTCAATAACTTAAAACTCAGTGACACTTAGTAGCATTACCTCAATTGACAAGTACCTGGTCATTGCTCATAATAATCAGTTTAATACTCCATTGTAATATGTTTTTCCATCAAGATCAGCAGCCTTGATTTCTGAGCTGTTTTAGGAGTGTCTGGCTTTTGTAAATTGGGCTGTTGTAGTTGGTCTTTCTTATTCAGAGATTTCCAGTAGTGGCTTCTAAATAAGGAATATTGGTTGCCTCAATACAATGGAATATCCTTGATGTAGGTTCATAGATCCAAATTCATTTTAAACTGCTTGCCATTCTCAATATCTCAGCATCTATTGGGTTCTGACAAACTGTTGTTCACATTTGTGCTACTGTTTCAAATTTGAAAATTATTCTTATCATTTAAGAGGGAATAGAAATAGAAACTAAGTCATCCCACTGGTGTTCTTATTTTTTTTTAAAGTTCTTTATTTTTTTTTAAGATTTTATTTATTTATTTTTAGGGGAGGGGGAGAGAGAGAGAGAGAGAGAGAGAGAGAGAGAGAGAGAGAGAGAGAGAGAGAGAGAGAGAGAGAAACATCAATGTGCGGTTGCTGGGGGTCATGGCCTGCAACCCAGGAATGTACCCTGGCTGGGAATCGAACCTGGGACACTTTGGTTCCCAGCCCGCGCTCAATCCACTGAGCTACGACAGCCAGCCCAGTGGTGTTCTTGCTTGCTCACTTGCTCTCTTTATCACCTGTTGACATATATCTTCTACTGAGAGTCAGTAATCTTACTTTGAAAAATCTGAGCTTGCTATATCTTCATTAATTCCTGTGGCCTACCAGTGTGTTTCCTGTATAGCTACATTGTGTTCCTTAGTCATTTCTCCTTTTTCCCTCAAGATCTTGGGGAATTGATGATATGAGAATTTTTTCCCAAACATTTTTTTTTAATTCCTGAAGCAGTAGTCCACTTAAGAGTCACTGTGGTGTCTTGTAGAAACTTTCATTCCTAATATCTGGGGAATATCTTTGTACCTATCACTTTTTTGTCCTTGGTCATTACCCAATAGTACTGACATGGCCATATTTCCTAAAGTTTCTTTCACTTCTACTTTTGCCAATCAGTTCTTCTTTCTTGGTCAAACATAGACAGAGTTGTAGTTCCTCTCACTGCTTCCTCAGCACTCTCAAGGATGAAATTTCTCTCTTGTAAGTTCAGCACAATCCTTCCCTTTTGATACATACTGTTTCCTGGCTGACACTCCCTTGTCAGATCTCCTGCGCCTTCCAGAACACCTGTTCTTTGGTTAAGAAATGTCCATATAGTCTCAACTATTGTTCTAGAACTCTTTGCCTTGATGACACTATTTTCTTCACTGCCCTCTTAAATGGAAGGTGCTCATTTTCCCATAATTCCTTAATCTTAAATCTAGCTTCTGGTGCCAGATTGTTCAACAACTTTCCTTTTCCTTTACTCTTTAATATGCATGCCATAGGATAGATTTTATGCCATCTCTTCATTGGCATAGACCCATCTCTGGGTTACTTACATTCTTTGAGGCCTCTGGCACCCAGCTCTGTATTCTGTGCTATCCTGACTTCTGGCATCATCCTAGACCATGTCACCAAAATCTCCAGCATAACACTTCCTCTACTTCCAACAATGTGACCTTCATTTTTGCTCAGCTTCTTCAACTTCTTTATATGGGCCACACTCTGGGCCTTGTCACCAGCTGGAACTGTTCTACTTCTGATATTTCAAACTCTGAAATTGTGCTTTTCAACTAATACCTCTAGCATTCCACATCCCCTATTTCCTTACTTCCACAATACCTCATTGACCTCACTGACACTTTAAGTCCCTTCTCTTTTCTTCCTGATTTCAGTCCTGCCCTGCTTCTATGGTCTTTCCCATTTAATCAACCATTTTTCACCCTCACTGAACCCTGCTAGCCATTTGATATTAATTGCCACTAGTATCCTCAATTCCATCATGTCCCTTTAATTCCCCTGCACCTGCCCTGCCAATCCCCAAACATAGATGGACTTTAGCATCTGTTTTCATCTATCCTGTTCCCAGGCTTCTGAGTAGTACTTGGGAAAATCGTCTCACCATGGAGATTATATCCATGACCAGACTGTGATTTCTGACCACAGCTGGTTCCTCAATGGCTGCTCTGTAATGCTTTTTTATACATTC